TAAAATGAAATAAATACTAGAAAAAAACATTAATATTAATGTAGTTAAGCAAGTCTAAATACCTATTATGTATTTTATAAATAATAGTAAATATTGCTTACCTTTCCTTGACTAACTCCTTCATGCCTACTAACAACGCTGGTACTACAGTTTGGTCTAAATATTGGCGCATGGGTGCATTATGCTTGGGATTTTTCAGCCTTTTAGCGTTGTTCTCGGAGGAAGTTACYTTCTTTATAAACAAAAGATAAACATTAAGATTTATTTAATTATTTAATTTTTATTTATTTATTAATATTCTTACCAGGCACCCACGTATGCTATCACCATCTCTTTGTCCAATTAACACATAATATACCAAAATCCATGTCCAACAGTTCCAATTTGGTATTGTAAATTTAAATATTAGTGTATTTATGTATTATAAAACTCAAATATAAGAATACTATCTGCTTATTTCAATTTTTAAACAATTAATAGAATTTTCAAGTATTAATATTGTATATACTCATAACTCACTTAAAATTAAAATACTGTMAAACACAGATTATAATCTCATATTTTTTAATTTAATCTGTTATCAATTCACTTTAATATTGAAGCTAACAATGCAAATTAAACTGAAACTGCTGGCCATACATTTTTATATATTATGCGATAGTAGAGTAAAGACAACATATGCGGGTGACAAATTCTTAATAATAAACTTTAAATACAATTTTTATTATTATCATTATAATTATTATTTTAAATTAATGCATCAATACCTGAGATTCTGAAACACTTGATTCTGGTGGGGCATCAACAGTCGGTGCCACTGGAGTAGTAGCCACTTGCCCGTTAGTCGTTTCTATAGGCAAAATAACGAGAAACAAATTATGTCAACAAATACATAAATACAACAAGATATGTTTAAGGGTTCAATTTAATTGTGAAAAAAATGTGCTCACCAGACGTTGACATATCTAAAATACTGAAGATCTATACAATTTAAGACTATATTTCGGWATACTTCAATTACCGTCGGCTAACAAATGTTCCAAAMTAAATGAAATCATGAAATTAAAAAGTAAAACTTCAGTAGTTTAGTGCCTTGACAGTCTATTCTACCATTAGTCTTATAGCTAAATGCCAAATGATAAAATATAAATACTAAATACAATACTTGAACGACAGAACCTGGAAACTTTATTATTATATATAATATATATATTTTTGTAGTTTGTGTATAGTGTTTGTACACATTATTATTGATAATAACAGCGCAACGTTGCCACTATTTAAGTCATCACTCATTCATATAAGCAGCAGCTGGCTCTTATCGGCTTAAAATACTGATAAGAAGTAAAAATATTTTATTCAAGAATTAATGATATTTTATATTTATACTTTATAGTTAAATAGTTTATACTCTTTATAGCACGTAATAAGAATTGTCGTGAAATGTGTTATACTATTATGTAATTTAAGATGTATATATAATATATGATATATCTTAATTCGTATTCGTAGACCAAGCCACTAACACATGGAAAAAATTCACAAAACCAAAACAATATTTATTGTTAAACCAAGGTGAATATAATTATATCCACTTTGTGTTAAACATTCAAGCTTCCAATTATGTGAACATTGTGAACAACATTGTCGATGTGGCATGTGGAAGTGTGCAACTACTAAACGCAATTTAATATGTAGCTAGAAGCTAGAAAATGAAAATGAATATAAATATTGTTTATTTCAACCACGGAATATTATTTATAAATTTTAGTCCATGATTTTAACCATTATCGTGATTACTAATAATAATCTAATCAATCCTTTGCTATTCGTTGAAAAAACGAATTCWCAAATTTACTACTAAGCAGGCGTTCTTTAGGTTAGTGGTACCTAGTAATAAATATATTAGCTTCAACAGTTTTCAACACAAGTAACCGACATTCCACACTGTGAAAACTTCAATATTGCTACCTTCGCTGTCGATGCAGCTATTATTTCAATAATTATTA